GAATGACTAAAATATAATTCTGTTGCAAATATTTCATTTTGTAATTAAAATTCAATATTTTCATACCACAAACTTATTCTGAAAATTTTGTAGTTCCATTACTATTTTAATTTCTCTCTGGACACCATATTCAGTCCAAGCAGCATAATTTTAATACTGAAGTTTCCTTGAAATTTTTAAAATCAAATATAAAATCATTCAGAGAAAATTGTAGTGATTATGATTACCATGTTTGTCTGAATATTTTTTCAGCCTTCAAAATACTTTAAATGAGGAGAAATGTTTGAAAAGTGAATGGTTTCCATTGGCATTTGAATATAAGTAAGATATAAAAATATAACTCCTGGGGCAGCTGGGTGGCCCAGTGGGTTAAGCATCTTACTCTTGATCTCTACTTAAGTCATAATCTCACAGTTCATGAGTTAAAGTCCCACATCAGGCTCTGCTCTGATGGTGCAGAGGCTGCTTGGGATTCTGTCTCTCCTTCTCTCTGCCTCTCCCCCGTTTGTGCTCTCGCTCTCTTTCAAAATAAATAAACATGAATATGAATATGAATATGAATATATGAATATAAATATAATAGAAATGTAAATATAAGTATATATCCCAATGTACCACTGGTTTCAGCCTACATAACCTGCAAAAAGAAGGAAGATCTCTCCCTGCCCCAGCAACAATACACTAATCAGCACTTGCAGCCAATGAGAAGCAGCCACAACCTCAAAATTTTGTTCTTCTCCAATGAACTTTTGTTTAAAAAACAATCTTCTTCAATTTCCTCCTAAAACCTAACAAAAGCTGACCGTCACTTTTTCTCAGATTTGCCTATAGCTTGCCACAGTTTGCTTGTCCTGAATTCGAGTTCTTCTTCTCTTCCTGAATAAACTCATTTTTCTAATAAAATACCTGGCTATTTTTTTTAAGTTGACATATTGGAATTATGTTAAATACATGGAAAACTAAAAAGGAATGATATACAAAAAATTAAAAATACTTTGTATTCATGTGTAGATATGTAAAATTTCCATTGACGTTGTTTTTCTCCAGTTTTGATTTAATTTCCAATTAGTTAACATACAGTGTAATGTTAGCTTCAGGATTAGAATTTAGTGATTCAACTCTTACATACAACACCCTATTCTGAACACAGTGCCCTCCTTAATCCCTATCACCCATTTCATCCATCCCCCCCACCCACTTCACCTCTGGTAACCATCACTTTGTTCCTTACAGTTAAGAGTCTGTTTCTTGGCTTTCCTTTCTTTCCCCCACACCTCACCCATGTTCTTTTGTTTTGTTTCTTAAATTCTACAAATGAGTGAAATCATATGGTATTTGTCTTTCTATAACTGACTTATTTTGCTCAGCATAATACTCTCTAGCTCTACCCACATTGTTGCAAATGGCAAGATTTTATTCTTTTTATGGCTGTGTAATATTTTATATATAACTATATAACTATATAACTATGTGTGTGTGTGTGAGTACACACACACACACACACACACACATATATATTATATATGCCACTTCTTTATCCATTCATCAATAGACATGAACATTTGGGCTTTTTCCATAATTTGGCTATTATTGATCACGCTGCTTTAAATTTCAGAGTGCATGTATTCCCTCAAATTAGTATTTTTGTATCCTTTGGGTAAATACCTAGTAGGCAGTTGCTGGATTGTAGGATGGCTCTATTTTAGCTTTTTGAGGAAACTCCATGCTGTTTTCCAGAGTGACTGCACCAGCTTTCATTCCCACCAGCAGTGCAAGAGGGTTCCCCTTTCTCTGCATCTTCGCCAACACCTGTTGTTTCCTGTGTTGTTGATTTTAGCCATTCTGATAGGTGTGAGATGATATCTCATTGTAGTTTTGATTTGTATTTCCCTGATGATCAGTGATGTTGAACATCTTTTCATGTGTCTGTTAGTTATCTGCATGTCTTCTTTGGGAAGATGTCTATTCGTGTCTTCTGCTGATTTTAATTGGATTATTTTGGGGGGTGTAGAGTTTTTTATATATATTGCATATTAACCCTTTATCACAGATGTCATTTGCAAATATCTTTTCTCCCATTCTGTAGGCTGCTTTTTAGTTTTGTTGATTGTTTCCTTCATTGTGCAGAAGCTTTTGATCTTGACAAAGTTCCACTAGTTCATGTTTGCTTTTGTTTCCCTTGCCTCTAGTGACGTATCATAGCAACTTCTATGGCCCATGTAAAGAAGTTACTGCCTGTGTTCTCCTCTAGGATTTTTATGGTTTCAGGTCTCATATTTAGGGCCTTAATCCATTTTCAATATTTTTATGTATGGTGTAAGAAACTTGTCTAGCTTCATCCTTTTGCATTTTGCTGTCCAGTTTTCCCAACACCATTTGTTGAAGAGACTGTATTTTACGCATTGGATATTCTTTCCTGCTTTGTTAAAGATTAACTGACCATATAGCTGTGGCTTCATTTCTGGGCTTTCTATTCTGTTCCATTGATTTATATGTCTATTTTTGTGCCAGTACCATAATGGTTTACTACACCTTTATAATATAACTTGAAGTCCAGAATTGTGATGCCTCCAGATTTGTTTTTCTTATTCAAGGTTGCTTTAGTTATTCAGGGTGTTTTGTGGTTCCATACAAATTTTTAGATTGTTTTTTCTAGCTCTATGAAAAATGCTATTGGTATTTTGATAGAGATTGCATTAAATGTGTAGATTGTTTTGGGTAGTATAGACATTTCAATGATATTTGTTCTTCCAATCCATGAGCATGGAATGTCTTTCCATATTTTTGTCACCTTCAATGAAATCCTAGCAATTTAAAAGAATAATATCAATCGTCTCTTTGGAATTTTACAGTTTAGTGGGCACAATAAATAATTTCACCAAATGTGGTGAATATCACGATAGGACAATGAAATATGCTTTGTAACTACAGAGCTGGCATATGTGTTCTAATCTAGAGAGTAGGAAAAGTCATCCTGATTTTAAATGAGATATGATAAATGTTTAATTAGGAGACAATGCAGAGAAGAGAAAGGGTGTTAAAGGGTAAGAGGAAAATATGCAAACATCAAGAATAAAAACTGGAACAGTATTCTCTGAGAAATGAAGACGATAGAACAAGGCAAAACAATATAATTGGTTGGTACAGAATGGTAACGAAGTGGGTACAGGTGGCAGTGATGTATCTGGAGATGAGGATAAGATTATGGAAGATGTATAAATAAGGCGATAGAGTCCAAAAAATTAGAATAATAAAAGTAAAGATTATTTTTGTAAAGAATATTATGTCTTTTTAATAGAACAGGCTTAGATTAAACACACATGCACACATACACACACACACACACACACACACACACACACACACACACACACACATTTGCCCAATAGAACACAAAAATTTGCATGAGTATAACCCAGGTTTGTAAGACTTTAGATTTATGTTTCTCTTGCACTGTACCTTGTTGAAGATTTTTAAGCTAAGAGGTAACATGACCAGATTTATGACATTGAAAATCACCTCCCTGGGGCACCTGCATGGCTCAGTTGGTTAAGTGTCCAACTTCAGCTCACATCATGATCTCAAGGTTAGTGAGTTCGAGCTCCATATCAGGCTGTCAGTACAGAGCCCACTTTGGATCCTCTGTCTCCTTCTCTCTCTGCTCCTCCCCTGATCATGCTCTCTCTCTCGCAAAAATAAATAAACATTTTTTTAATTATTTAAAAAAAGAAAAGAAAAATCACCTTTATAATGGAAAACTCTTTGGAGTAGACTGCGAGGGGTGGCAGACATTAATTAGGAGATTGCTACAGTGGTCCAGATAAGATACGATGCAGGACAAAACCAGGGTGATAGCCATAGGATGGAGACATATTGATGGGTCGGGAAGGGGTTGCAGAGAAGACTGCATATGATTATTTTGGCATTGAGATTAAAAGTACAGAAGAGTAAAATATGCATCCCAAGTTTCTTATTTTGGCTACCATAAAAAAACTATTTAAAAAGTCAAACAATTCAAAGATAGAATGGGACACAGAAATAGGTGGAGCCAGGAAGTAATGGGAATTTTGGGATATATGATAGAAGACAACATAGTTGTCTTCTAGGGGACAGGCTAGTTAAGACTCAAGTTTCAGAACAGTGTTAGGTTTGAAAAAAATGTCAAGATTTTTTCCAATTCTAAATTTCTGTGAATACATGATCTGTTTGTCTGTTTTAAGTACTCAGTAGACTGCCTCCTACATTAAAAAGTCTATTTTTTAGTTGGTTATGTATCAGAAGAAAAATAATTTATGAAAAAATATGTATATGGCCAGTGGAAAAGCCCTGTGTTTTTTATATCAATTGAATTTTAAAGAAGTCTATAAAATATGTCAATTTCCAAACAAACAAACAAACAAACAAACAAACAAACAAACAAACGATATCCTGGTTGAAAGTGTACTCTCCCAAAATCATATAGAGAAGAATCTTTGAAATAAAATTCCATCCCTCTGGTTTCTCTGAAGACAGAGCCTCTGAATCTACAAATATTTTACTGACGAGAGGTAAAATCAGTTTGCAGTTATGGTATATATTCTAAACTTATCATGAAAAGTTCAAAACGTCTCACATCATCTCTTAATTTAGTGATATTAAATGTAACCAGGAGTATGTCACTATTTTATACTCAAGCTCTAGGTTTATGGATGTTTTGTTTTTTCTTGTTAATGTGTCACAGTTTAAATCTTTGAATCATTCAACATTGTGTTTCAAAAGATATATTATTCATTTTTATTTCATTGTAAATTTAGTCCCCTATGATGTACAGATGTAATTATTTAAAATTTTTGAGAATGATGAAACTGGAATGTTTAGTATTCTCACCTGAAAATTAAGATAACAACTGTGATCGTTGTTTTAATGACATTATGTGAAGAGTTGATATGTGCCAAAATTAATTTTTTTCTGTAATAGCAATGCATGTATTTATAGAACTTTTCTTTTCTGCCTCTCTGAAGCTTCACACTGACCAAGATAAAGGAGATGGAAATTTAAAATACATATTAACAGGAGATGGGGCTGGCAGTCTGTTCGTTATAGATGAAAATACAGGAGATATTCATGCTGCAAAGAAATTAGACAGAGAAGAAAAATCCCTATACATTCTTCGTGCCAAGGCTATAGACAGAAAGACTGGGCGGCAGGTGGAGCCGGAATCTGAATTTATTATTAAAATCCATGATATCAATGACAATGAACCAAAATTCACAAAAGACTTATACACTGCCAGTGTTCCTGAAATGTCTGGAGTCGGTAGGTATATGTTAATCCATGTAAACTAACATTTTTATTTGTTTGCTAAGGTAATAATTATGGACATACAGTTACCATATATGGTTCTTTCAAGATGAGAACTATAACTGAAAACTACTATTTAGTTTTAACTTCTCACTTCTAATTATTTTCAATTGTATATATTTCAATGATTCCTGCTATGGTGTACCTTATACCTAAAATGATATCTAAAAATATGATCTAACAATATGATTAATGAGAGCAGTTATTCCATTGCATTTCTACCAACACCTTCACCTCTACTCAACTGCTATTCAAATAACAGTCAAGATGAATGTATTTCTGCTTGAAATAAAAAGGGGATATCAAATAGTGTCAGCAGTTTTGGACAGTTTTGCTTGCATTATTTTGCATAACAACTAATACTTGCATTTGACAAATTTCTTTTGATCATCTCATTTGATCATTGAAACAACTTCATGTGGAAAGCATGGGAAATAGAACTTTAAATCCCCATTCTGTTAATTAGGAGCCAGGATTCTGAATGATTAAGCAGCTGAATTAAGATCAAATAACCTGGTAGCCTAATAACAATATTCCAAGCCTTTTAATATTATTTTAGTTGTGTTCTACTACCAAATAATAGTTTATCATGCAAACTGAAAATAATTGTTTCATTTTTTAGGGCTGCCTACAATTTTAAAAAACATTTGTTATTATGTAATTTATCTGTATGTGTATGTTTAGATGTCTTAATAAAATAAGAGCTATTAAGTCATTACATATTTAAAAAGAAGTGATATAAACTTGCTATAGTATCCAAAATATGCACAACTGATTTTCAAAATTTGATACTATGTAGTTGGATGTTATTTCAAAATCATTGTTCAGTGATTAACTTTGACATTATTACAATTAGTACATGTTTCAGTCTAAAATATTTTTTTATGAGGAAAACAAAATTATAACCACCTTTGCTGAGTGAAATGATATAAGATGTTTAACTATGTGTGTCATCTAGACAGAAGAACCAGGGGTTTGCAAAGAAGTTATTTCTTTTCACCTCAGATGAAATCTCATCCATCTGAGAAAAGAGGCAGTTCTCTTATCTTTTAGGTATTTATTCCAATAATATGAAAGAGAGTTATCAAATTAGACAGGAGTCCTAGGAAATCATACAGCCTAGGATGAAATATGAGTTGCTGTGTTTTCTTTAATATTTTAAAATATGTTAGCTTGGTATAGATCCGTGGAAGTACTGGACTGATCCATATAGGTCGACCAGTGGGATAATGTAGATACATATGATGATGTCTTTATGGGCTTATATTTGAGATGAAGATACATCTAAAATCATACTTTCCATTTCAACTGCCTGTTGAGTATTCTAAAGTAGTTTGGTTTTCTGGTAACACCCTTTAACCTTTATAACACATTATTGTTTATCCTGCATATATGTTATTTTACCAGGTATTTTGACAAATAGTACAAAAACTGTCACTTATCCTTCTGGAAATAGATTTGATATACATACAGGAATAAAAAGTATAATTTGGATGACAGATATTTGAATAAGACACATTTTGATAATAACTGATTTATAGTTGAATAACTTTTAAAGTTTTCAAAGAATTAACTCAATTAACTCATTTTAAAAACCAGAATACTTATTTATCAGAGACTATTTATATTTAAACTCAGATACCTGCATTTCTCCCATATATTTTGTGCAATTTAATGGAATATTATCTCTTATTCTGTATATTCCGATCATTTATCTAATTCAAACATATTCTATCTCATCTAGGTTACATTAATATTTATCAAATATGTAATAATATCAGGACTAGAGTAAACACTTGTATATTTTATTTAAAAAAGTCTTTGCTCATTCCATACCATAAAATACAGAATATATAAGTTTATACATGGAGGAAGGCTTATAGATTATTTTGTGCAAAAAGCCCTTCCTGTAAGGCAATCTATACTTATATAAACTTTAAATTATGGGCAGCACAATTTCTTATTGTTGCAGCCTTAAAAATGCGTATTTGGTGGGGTACCTGGGTGGCTCAGTTGGTTAAGCAGCTATCTTTGGCTCAGGTCATGATCTCGCAGTCTGTGAGTTCAAGCCCCGCGTCGGGCTCTGTGCTGACAGATCACAACCTGGAGCCTGCTTCAGATTCTGTGTCTCCCTCACTCTCTACCCCTCCCCTGCTCTGTCTCTCTTTCTCTCTCAAAAATAAATAAACATTATTTTTTTAAGTGAGAATTTGGGTAATTGTCAATTTTATTGCCTCTGTGCCTAGAATTCCAACAAAACATAAAAACAACAACAACAACAACAACATAGAGATAGATGTATGGCTCTGGTTGCAGCTTTTCATATTAATAAAAGAGGATTTAAAAGTTACAGATAGATCTTGATCCTATTTATGGAGGATAGTTATTATTAGTACTAAGATTGACATCACTGTATTAATTGCTTCCTGTTTGGCCCAACGATAGACTTCGTATGTATATCTAGTTTTAAATATAAATGTACATATTATACACACACATGGAAGACACTACATTTGATTTAAGCACTTATTTTAATAAATAAGTAAAAATGAGCCCAAAAGAATTAAACTGGCTTGCCCCAAAACATAGTTTATTACTATATTATTGTAAACAGAAAAACAATGTTTAATAAATGCTGGGAAAGCTGGATAATTTTAATGCCTTACTATTTGTCCCCACTGTAAAATAGTTATGCTTATTATGCAAAACATAGTTTGGAACACTTCCAATTTTATTAGATTCTTAGTAATTCCTCAAAAGCAACATTTTTTAAGTTTTTATCTCTTAATTCAAATGCCCCCTCATTAAAATTAAATCCAAATAAGAGGAAAGGGAGTGACTGCATTTTGCATTAAGATTTTAGACCTGTTAATATATAAAACATGTCTAAATAAAGTCTATAAATTTTATATTTTTAAATTATATGGTTCTTTTGTCATAAGTAATCCTGTTTTAAGGGAAAATAAATATTAACTCACTATAATTTTGTAGATGTTATTTCTATGCTTTTACTGATATAAATAATCAATTGCAGAGAAAAACTAAAGGATGATCTTAAACTAATAGTTAAAGCCCATGCATAATCAGACAACAAAAAGTGCTTCTATAAATGAAGTAATGCACAGTCATTTAATTCTAATATTATCTTCCTTATATTAGTGATTTTCACTTAAACCAGAGCTAAAAAACTACTACTATTAACTTTGGGGGTAAATAAAGTCTTCTAAAATAAAATGAAATTTCTTTATTATTATCCTACCCTTCTCCCCAATATACCCCCTAATGGTCTCCTCGATACTGTCCCTTTCTTCCTATTTATTTTTGTCCAAAGTGTCTCTCCTGTTTCTCTCACACCAACTCCTCTCCTTGCTCTATCTCTCTGCCCCTACTTCCTCCTGTCAAAACCATATGCCACATTCCATTGTGTTGCTCAGAATCATTTTTTAGTTAAAATTAAAAGACTCTAATTAATTGTTGAAATCTTAAATGCATTAGCATCTTCTGATCAGAACACATAATCTGGACAATATTTAAGGATACATAATGAAGGCAAATGGGATGCATTGATTTTAATATTTATAGCAGAGCCCAACTTTTTTCTCATTGACTGGGTAGTTCACCATACTGGTCTCTCAAAAACTTACCCAGTTCCTCTCCAACACCATCACTTCAACAAGAAATCCTTTTGCAGTTTTCACAGTTGGCACATATAACTCATCAATGAACCCTTTATGACTTAACCCAAGCCCTTTCTTAGTATTCACTACCTGTGGATTCAATAACGTGTCTAATCACAGCCATAATGCCAGACAAGCCACTTAAAAAGAATTTAGAGTGGTGTTTCTTTCCTCAGATTGTCTAGGATGCATCCCATCTCTGTCACCTACCAGGTGACCATGAGCCACTTCTATATGTCTCAAGGCCTATATCTTATGCTAATCATAAGAATAAAGTAATGATACAAATTAAGGGCTGGGTATTCTGCCTCGTCTACCTTACAGTCTATAAACGTACATTCTCATTATGACGTTCTGCTGGAAACCATGCTGGGCTTCAGTTAAAATCTGAATAAGACCAGACAGGCCCCTGCCTTTGGAGAGATTACATCATACAGACAAAGCCTGCAAATAAATTTATCATGATACGACAAATTTCATGTCATATGATACATTTGTCATTTAAGCTTCACTATAATTTTTTAATCTTTGTTTAATATAAAAGTAAAATATTTAGATTATTTGAGAACAAATGAAAATTATAAGTATTTCAGAAAATTCAGAGGGAGATAAAAATCAAAATCTTTTAATTCATCTTTATAAACACATATTTACGAAATTGGTACAAAAAACATAAAAACCACCTTTTAATTTTATTGCTAAATAGTACTAACTGATAATAAGTCATTGCATTTATGAAAAAAAAAAGTACAACTCTCCATTCCCTAATGTCCAACACATTAGGTACTTCTCTTTTTTCATTCTGCTTTATAAATATCATGGTATTAAGCTGTCAGTGTTTATCAGTGTTTATCAGCATTCCTAATCATTACCATGATTCTACAAGAACAGATCGTAGTTTATATGAGTGTTTTTAACATTTTAGTTACATTACAAAATTGATTTTTATTATTTAGATTGAATTATTTTTTTCTTTTTTAGGTCAAGTATTTTTGGATATGTTCAAAGATCACATACCTACAATAAAAAGCAAACAATAGAAAACAAATTTAACAGCAAAATACATTATTAAAAGTGTCAAAAGGTATAGAGAAGTGTTTTTACCTGTTTTCGCTATGAAATTATACCCACAGTAAAAGAAAAATGAAACTGGTTAGGAAAATACCGGTCATGAAATTGATGAATTCACTACTTACATTTAGAATACTGATTACACTTAATAATTCATGTTTCAAATAATCCTCAAGTATGAAAATAATTATTATTCTCACTAATATATGTTCACATAAAATTATATTTAAAAATTCAATATAAGTCAGAAAAACATTTAGTTGAACTTATAAACATTATTGTATTCTATTGTATTATACATATTATATTATAATATAACTATTATTTTTGCCTTGGTCTGGCTAGGACATGAGTGAGTGTTCTTTGAATGACAAAGGAGTACCCCTGGGATGGACGAGTGAGTTGTACTGTGTCTTCTTGCAGAACATATTAATTCTGTTGCAGCTGAGGAAACAGAGGCCTCAAGAGAAAGAACTCAAGTTCTATGCTAATTAATTTTGAAAAAAAAAAAAAACATAAAAACGAATGCTGCTAGATTCCTGTGTTAATATTCAGATACATTGATGGGAAATGAGCTGTTAGTATAATCTTAACATACAATTAATAATTTTTAAGCATATACATGCAAATTTTGAGAAACATTCATTACAACTAAATTAGACCAGTTCTGAGTGTGTAACGTATGGGGGTTTTAAAGTAAGTGATATGGCCAATATGGAATTTGCCCTGTCCTAAAGAATTTCACAATCTAGGTAGAATCAGAGTCAAACTTCAGAAAATTCTATGTAGTATACTAGAAAATGTCATACAAACTCATTTTGCCCAAGGGATACATGGTAGGCTTTAATCAATAGTAGTTTTACAACCATGCTTTGAATCTTTATAGCGATTAGTGAGATATCAGAAAAGCCCATTAATATACTGCATTATGTTTAGCCCCTTTAAAACCTTTTTATCTTTTAAATATAAAAAATTGTGATAAAGTTAAAAGACAGTGGTTTAAGTTTCAGAAAATAAAATTAAACAGAGTAGTGTTAAATTATAGTATTGCATGTGACAAAATCTATACTTTCTTAATTTGGGGGGAAATATCTACTGATTTACTTATGTGCAGCAAATAATATGTAGCATATCAATAGATGTAATCATATATGACTGTGTTAACTATATTTTAAAGGGAGGCCCAGATGCTTAATAATCATTTATATCTTACACACACACAAAATTACAGGTCAATTTTATGCCATTTTTTCCCCATGAAAACAGGGTCCCTCTATTTTTTATTCTATGTGTAATATACATTTAATTTATCAGGGTAAAAAGCAACCTGGATGTTACCAATACTGGTTTTATCTTTGAATATACATTTCCAGTAAGCAAGAAATGCATTAATTGAAAATTGCATGAACATTGTATTCAGTGAAAAATTGTTCCTCACAATATTTTTGGTCAACTAAAAGTGCAGTGCATTTGTCTCATTATATTCATTTTTGTGATAAAATAGGTTGCTGATTTTTTTCTCAGATAGCTCAAACAATAAAATTACGGGGTATTTAAATTTTCAAAAAAAATGAAAAGGAGAAGTGTTTTGTTTTTTGTTGTTGTTGTTTTTTTGAGGCAGCATCATTTCAACACATTTCTTTGAACATGTACCATCATCTAACACACCACATGACCCACCAGCAATAATTTTTTGGAAAGACCGTTTCAAAGTTAGAAGTATTTAAGTATCTTTGTTTGGGTGGGTGGGATTCGTGTAGGTACGTCTGTCATACAAGTGACCGCAACAGATGCAGATGATGCCAACTATGGAAACAGTGCAAAAGTGGTCTACAGCATACTGCAAGGACAGCCATATTTTTCTGTGGACCCAGAATCAGGTAATAGCCTTTCATACTTGGTTTCCTTCTCATCTCATTATGTAATACATCCGGATGCACAATTATAGATTTTTCTGTATTTTAAGAGCTATTGATTCAGTATCATGCTTCCACTTATTCCCCATAGTTATTCCATGGAAATAAAAGCAAATTTCATATTATTTAAATAGATTATTTGAACTGTTATCCTTTTAGACTATTATCTACAGAGTTTAAATTTACGACACCAAATACAAAATTTGAAATTTAGCACTTTTTGTGTCCTAGGAAATACTCAAAACAGAAAGAATGTGAAAATCATCAAATTAAGTAAGCTTATTCATCTGAAGATTTTTTAATGAAGTTAATTTTTTTAAATCAAAAAATATAATTAAATTGATTTAGCCAAGCTCATTCCCTGTACAGTAGCCAGTGGAAGAATTCTGTCTGTTCTGTCCATTACATTAAATTGGTTATGGATTTCATACAGTTAGGTACACCAGCTTTTTGATTGTTTGTTATGATGAACTTCTATAAAATAGATCTTGCATAGGTTAATCTTAGAACTCAGTGATTAAATTGTAAAATATTTGTCTACTTTTTCTAAAAGGCATAATAAAAACTGCACTACCAGACATGAGCAGAGAAAATAGAGAACAGTACCAAGTGGTTATACAAGCCAAAGACATGGGCGGCCAGATGGGAGGCCTTTCTGGAACCACCACCGTAAACATCACTCTGACAGATGTCAACAACAATCCTCCACGATTTCCCCAGAGTAAGGAAGGTTTTATTTCTCTCGTGTAGGAAGCCTCCAACACACTACGAATAGAGGCTTATATTTGTACCAGTGTTTTCACTATTCGGTTGTGAACAAAGACAAATCCACAACCTATCCCTCTGACAAAATATGATAATTTCCCACAAACTGACTTCCCAATATTGGCTGTGATCATCTCACTCTTTCTCTTATCTGTTTCTCGGTGTAGAGCACGGACTCTTAGTTCTGACAGCCTGGTTTCAAATCCCATGTCTGTCACTCATCAGACCTCAGTTATCTGAGATTATCTTATACACAGTTCTCCTATCTGTATATAAGAATTATATTCCCTTATTTAATTGATTCTAAAACACAGACTTGATATTTTAAAGTCTCAGATATCAGATACTAGTATTACAATCAACACAAAATGGGTTCAAATGGCAGCACTTGTTTTTCTTAATGGCCCTTTGAGTTGTGGTATGCCTTCTTTCTGATGGCATCTGAGACATGTTTGCTAGTATCTGTTACCTACTTGGAAAGGTCAAATCAGTCAATACCCTTTTAGTCATCACCATTTTAGGCACGTATGTTAAATCCTGAATGCTTTGCATGCCATGAATTCCCACACAAACAGATTCCAATCCTTTCCATTTTGCAGTGAATACAAATATGAAGGGCCTATTTTGAAATGTTCAGTTGAGGGGGTCTCAAATTTAAATTTATGATATTGAATCTAATACATTAGAGCATTTTTCCAAGCTAATCAAAATTAAACTATTTGATGATTCAGCTTTGGATGGTTGACATATGTATCTGATAAATGTTTTAAAAAGTTTGCTAAGAATATGAACAATAAGCCTAATTAACATAAATCTAAACTTTGCATTCAGTTTCCTTAAATATAAACTGAAACAGTATGACTTGATGAATTCTCAAACGGCCTGGTACTCTATAATTCCATGATCCATTATAATCTTAGCAAAAGGTTTAGAACAATAATAGTAATAACAAAAAATGTTTAAGAACTATCCCCGGGCTAAACATATAAAAGACATAATTTCATGTAATTCTCATTAAAAAAAAAAAAAAAAAACTATGAGATGATTGCTGTCATTATCACCCAATTTTATAGATGAAGAAATCAAGGGTTAGAGAATTTAACTTGCCCAGTGATGAGAATTCAAATCCAGGCAGCTGGATTTAGAAGTCCTCCTTAATCACCAAACAAATTAGAAAGAGAAGACTTTGAATCAGAGAGACTTAGTTTTGCATGCTGTTTTTCTCAATCTTATAGGATTGTTTCCTTGAGCCCTATCCCTACCTTGGTATTATGAGGACGGATATTAGAATTAAATAAATTAATACAGAGGGCCTTTGGCCTTATACAGAATGCAGCACATTTTACATGTTTAAAAACATTTCTAACTTTCATTAACTTTTTTTTTAACTTTTTCCTATTGATTCTTGAACAAATTGTCACAAACTAAAATCCTTTCAAGGACACCACAATGCAATATAATTGGCTGGAACTGAAGGAAACAGAAACATTCATATCCCTTAAAGGCATTAACAAGCAAAAAGGAAGGAAGGAAGGAAGGAAGGAAGGAAGGAAGGAAGGAAGGAAGGAAGGAAGGAAGGAAATTCCTGTGTATGGGTTTATTTTTCTATCTCTGACCTAGAATATAAGAATAAGTGCATGTTTTTGAAATAATTTGAAAGTTGTGAAAATGTATAATGACAATATTGAAAGCTCCAGATAAGCGGTAAATAATTGGTTTTCTTGCCCTCTTAAGTAAAAGTTCTGGATTCTAATATCGTGCCTACCATCTGTTATCTCAATAACCTTGGAGCATCCACTTAATCTTCCTGGAACTTATATTTCTCATTTACAAAGTGAGAGTGCTCTGCCTTTATAAATTATTTTTCCAATTTAATAAATCTATAATTTTTGACAGCTTACAATTCAATATGATGAAAAACTCTCCCAGTTTAAAATTAATTTATTGAAGTAAAAAAGGCAGAGGAAAAGAAAGGTTTTTGTTATCTGAAGATGAAATGCCAAAACAGCTCTGATTGAATTTTCAGGTACGTATCAATTTAATTCTCCCGAGTCCGTACCTCTTGGAACCCATGTTGGAAGGATAAAGGCCGATGACCCTGATGTGGCGGAGAATGCTGAAATGGAATACAGCATTGCTGAAGGAGATGGAACAGACATGTTTGATGTCATCACTGACAAGGACACACAGGAAGGGATTATAACTGTCAAACAGGTTTCTTTACACTGTCTTCATTTTTTCATTGAGTGCTTATAGTTTATTTTTGCTTTTCAGTTAAGGGAAGAAAAGCCTAGGATTTATTTTTCCCATCTTTACAGTCTTCATAGAAGGGGGTATAGTTGTGGCTTCATCTCAAGTTACGCATCTTCACCACTGACACTTAAAAAGGATACAAAGCCTTAATTGCTTGTGCTTATAGCAGACACTCAAGGTAGGACCAGATAGCCTCGAAAGTCCTTGTTTTATACTCTCCCTGGCTGAAAAAATAGGCATGCAGTCATAACTTTATTTCACACACTTTTCAGAATATTCCAATTTGTCTCTTCAAGTAGATGAAACTTGAAGATGTGTGTTTTACTTTGGATTTCTTGATTTTTAATGCAGTGTGGGAGAACATTATGAAACTTTATCTAGAATAATCCAGCTAAGTATTGATCATGTTCTATTTTCCTGATTTTTCTGTTTCCATTCACATCTTGCTTTCCATGGTGTTCAGATGAATGAAATATGCTTTTTCTTTTTAAAATATCAGTTTTAGAAATGTTGGAACTAAGGGGGCAACTTATATGAGCAGTTTGCTAAATCTCTACTTTATTTTATATTTACTCTGATTTTAACTTTGTATAAATTTAATAATAATAGTAAATAATCTGTATATCCATTAGATAATACATTTGCCTGTGACCATCAAAATGTGAATTGCATTAATAAGTGGGATTCAGTCTTAATGTGCATACCATTATATTCAGTTACCCCCTATGAATAAGTGTAAGACAAAACAAAAAATTACTAGTTTATTTGATATACCTATGCAGCAATAACTGAGGAAGTTTTTTAACCACAATTCCTGGCACCAGTAACAGAGCTGGATATTCAAATTTAATATTGTCTTCCCTTGTCATATCTGCTATATTATACTAATTTTTCTTATTTAACTCCAGAATTTAGATTTTGAAAGCAAAATGCTGTACACTTTAAGAGTGGATGCAAGTAACACTCACCCTGATCCACGATTTCTACACCTGGGACCTTTCAAAGACACAGCTGTGGTCAAAATATCTGTAGAAGATATAGATGAGCCTCCTGTGTTTAGTAAACTTTATTACTTGATAGAAGTAGATGAAGATGTAAAGGAGGGCAGCATCATTGGACAGGTTACAGCATATGATCCAGATGCTATGAACAATTTAATAAAGTAAGTATTTTGTGATAATTTAAGTTTGCAGAAAAATAATCATCGTCCATTTACAAGCTGTTTGAAAAAAATAACATGGTACTATGTATGATGAAGTATAGTAATAAGAATAAATCCTTCCATAGCACGATTTTTAGCTGAACTAACTTCTAAGTGATCTCAATATATTATTGTATTTGACTCATCATTTTGCAAGGTAGATCCTATTATTATACCTGACTGCAGATGATAATATTAAGACACAGCATTTAAATAACTTGCCAAACAATTAGTCAGTGGCAAAGCTGGGTTTGAGAATCAGGCCATCTGGCTCTAAGAGTCTGTGATTTTAATCCTCCGCTGTAGTGATTCTTATCTCATTGCCTCTCTTGGAGAAGTCATAGTTCAAATAATAAATGACCTAAACAAATAAATTAGAAGAAAAATTTGTTCTAGGAATGCTATTAAGAGATAATTTGAAAATGTGGAAACATCTTTTAAAAATAGTCACTAGGCATCAAAATTTTTGGAAAAAACAATATGTCAACCTTTTCTAATAACAGAGAATTAGTAAAGAAAGTAATGATACTTGCAAATATAAAACATATTAAAATTAGTATCATATTGTGTAGTATAGCGTAAATACTTTCCCAAAGTTTGAATACAGTATGGACCATTTCAAAGATTTCAAATATGCCAGAATCTTAAGTGATTGCTTTATATGGTTCTTAAGGGGAATGTAAATATAGTTGTGAAATTAATGAATGAATACAATGGGTGGCTGAAGATGAGTGTCTGATTGTGGCATTAAATTCATGACATGAGACTGTCAAACATGTTGCCTATCCCTTCTTCTGTAAAATAATGGTTACCGTTTATTCAGCACCTGGTATAAACTAGAGAGTCTGAAGAGATATATATTTATTAGCTCAGCTCAGCCTCATTACAACTTTATTGGGCAGGTACAACTCTTATCACCCAAATTTTATAGAAGAATAAATAGAGATGCCAAGAGTTAAGGACACAGTGTAATATAGTTAGCAGACCAAGGATTCAAACTTCAGTTGATCTGAATACATAGCCAATTCTTTAGCAGTCATACTCTGCTTTCCTAATGACCTGTTTACTAATTAGAGAAATTAATATAATGTGCTGCATTTGTAGACTAATTTGACTGACTTCAGTTATACAAGGTAGATCCCTCAGGGACAAAATTATGCAAAAGGCAAAACATGTATTTTGCCCCTCAGAATTTGGTCTAGTTTCTCTTCATTTTCCCCATTTCCCACAGTAGGGAGTTTCATCAGCTCCAGCTACAGACATGTTAGCTTAGAAAATTACAGCCTTTTTAAGAAAATTATTTTAATGTTTATTTATGAGAGAGAGAGAGATTCCGAAACAGGGGAGGGGCAGAGAGAGAGGGAGACACAGAATCCGAAACAGGCTCCAGGCTCTGAGCTGTCAGCAAAGAGCCCGACACGGGGCTCGAACCCACAAGCCATGAGAACATGACCTGAGCCAGTCGGACATTTAACCAACTGAGCCACCCAGACACCCCAGAAAATTACAACCTTTTCATTCTTCTTTTGAACACTTGTATTAAGGTATTATTGACCAACAATAAACTGCACAACTTTAATCTGTATGATTTGAGAAACTCTTGTATATTCATACACCCATTAAAACATCATCAAATTCAAGATAATGTAGATATATCTTACCCCAAAAAGTTTTTTCATGTCTTTTTAATGCCTCCCTCCCAAACTTCCCAAAACCCACCCCTGATCCCCAGGCAAACAACGATCGGGTTTCTGTTGATATAGGTCAGAATGGATTCTGTTTTCTTGAATTTATACCAATGCAATCATACAGTGTTTATTCTCTTTCGTCTAACTTGTTTCACTTAGCATAACCATATTGAGACTTTTCCATGTTGTTATGTGCATCAGTGGTTGATCCCTCCAATTGCTGAAAAGTATTCCAATGTATAGAAATACCACATTTTGTTTATCTGTTCACTGATCAGTTGATAAGTACATATACAAATATTTGTGCATTGGTATTTGTATAGTTACATGTTTTCACTTTTCTTGAAAACATACCTAGAAGAATTATGATCAGATCATCAGGCAGATATGTATTTAACGCTTAAGAAACCAGCATATTATTTAAAGTTAAACAATGGCTATACAATTTTACATTTTAAAGTGGCTATACAGTTTAAAGTGGCTATACAATTTTACATTTTTACCAGCAATTATGATGGATTCAGTTTCTATATAGCCTCACCAATACTTGGGAGCCTCTTTAGCCATTCTAACAGCGGTATAATTGTATCTCTATGCTGATATGTTGAGCGTTTTTTCATATGTTCAATAATAATCATATTATTATATATATATATATTAAATAAATCATATGATTTATTTTTCATATATTGAACAAGCTCTGCATTATTGGGATAAATGTCACTTAGCCACATTATGCTATTGTTATTATATATTGTTGAATTCAATTCACTAAAGTTTAAAAGTAATTTTGCACTTTTTTTTTAGAAGGAGAAGGGGAGAGGGAGAGGGAGAGAGAATCTTAAGCACACTCCAGCACAGATCCCAAATCAGAGTCCGATGCAGGGCTCAATCTCAGGAACTGTCAGATCATGACCTGAGCCAAAATCAAGATTAATGCTTGACTGACTAAGCCAGCCAGGCGCCCCAGCACTTATTTTCATTGGGACATTTTTTACAGTTTTGTTTTCATGTAACATCTGTTTGGATTTAGCGTCATCGTAAAACTGTCTCACAGAATGCAGTCATAAGTATAAGATCCTCTTTTAATTTTTTGGAAGAGTTTGCATAGAAATGACATTATTTTTCCCTAAATGTTTAGTACAATTTAAAAGCAAAGGATGATATTCTCTTTTTTCTATGAGTCACAACTACAAATCCTATTTCCTTACCAGTTGTAAGACTTCAGGTTATCTTAACTCTTACATGAGCCTGTTTGGCTTTGTTTTCCTTTTCCTTCATCTTTCAGGGAATTTGGTAGTTTCATCAAAGTTGAAAAAAAGTTGTTCATAATATTCCTATTGTCCTTTTGATACCTCTAATAATAATAGTCCTCCATGATACTGTTAATTTGTATCTACTTCTGTCTTTTTGCTGACCTGTGTGATTAAATGATTTTTTCAATTGTTTGTTTTCTCTTTTTTTTTTCTCTGATTATTCTTTCTTCAGCTTACATTGAGTTTCATTTGCTGTTCTTGCCTATTTCCTTGATTCAGAAGCTGAGATCATTGATTTGAGACTCATTCCTATTTTCATATGTACATTTTAGTGCTAAATAAATTTTTTATTTATATTTATTTATTTATTTTTATTTATTTAGGTACAGCTTTAGAGGCCAAAGCTGTTTTTTCTACCAATACAGTAAAACTTTTGCATTGCCCTAATCTTTATTGTTCTCTTTGTAACTTGTCAGTTGTTCCTTAGGATGCTTTTAAATTGTGTCACTACTTTTAAGTAGTTTGATTATGATGCTCCTGTCTATAGTATGCTTTATTCATTTTGTATTTGAAGTTTATAAAGCTTCCTGAATATGTAGCTTTATGCCTTTCTTCAAATTTGGAACAGTTTTCAGCTGTAATCTCTTTAATATTTTTTTGCCCTACATTCTTCTTTTTAAGGACATTTAATTATAATTATACTAGGTCTCTTGAAAACGTAACACAGTGCACTGGTGTTGTTTATTTAATCTTCTCTTTTCCCTCTTAGTCATTTTAAATAGTTCCCTTTCATCTTCATCTTCAAGTTTACCAAGCTTTTTTTCCCCCCAATATCTAACCTGCTTTAATTCCATCTAGAATATTTTTCATTTTACAGGTTATAGTTTCTCCTCTAAAAGTGTTATTTCTCAGTGTTTTCAATTGCTAGGATTTTCTTCAATCATATTTTCTTTCAGTCATATTTTCTTGTTTTTTGCATGCCTGTAAGTTTTGATTGGATATCAAACATTGTGCTCCCACTGTGGTTAGTGTTAGATAGCTTTGCATTTTCATAAATATTCTTGAGCTCCATTCAGATGTGTGATTAAGTTACTTGAAACATCTTAATCTTTTTGGACCTAGCTTTTGTGCCCTTTTTCTAGACCTAATTTTACCCAATAAATCAAGCAAGACCTTTCAGGGGCACTTGGGTGTCTCAGTCGGTTAAGTGGCCTATTCTTGATCTCGGCCCAGGTCATAGTCTCACAGTTCAAGGGTTTGAGCCCTGCATCCAGCTCTGCGCTGATGGTGTGGAGCCTGCTTGGGATTCTCTCCCTCTCTCTCTGCCCCTCTTGCTCTCTCTCTCTCTCTCTCTCTCAAAATAAATAAATAAACTTAAAAAAAATCAAGTAAAACCTTTCTGAGTAGTCTACCAAAGCCCCCTGAGTTTGAACTTTTTCCTTTGGCTGGTGGAAACTAGAACTCTTCCCAGTGACAGGCTAGTTCACAGTTTCATTCCTTCGTATCCTTGTGATTGAATACCTCTGTTGCTTCACTCTATCTGTTCCCACGTGAGTTCTGATCAGAACTCCGCTGAAAAGTTGAGTAGCGTCTCTTCAAATTTCGGTAGTTCCCTCTCTATGAAACTCTCTCCCTTGAATTACTCCATCTTTAAAATTCTAGGCAGTTTGGTTTCAACATGGACTATCAGCATTATCTCCTGAACTGAGGGGGCTGACAGACTCCATCTGGGATCCCACTTCCTGTTTCACTGTCTGGAACCTCCCCCTGGCGGTAAACTAGGGAAGTCTTATGTATCATTTCATATCTTTCTCTTTTCTCTGAGATTATGGTCATTGTTCTCTGGTGTCTAATCCTTCAAAAATAATTGTTTCATATATTTCATTTAGTGTTAGTGGATTGTGTGTGTGTGTGTGTGTGTGTGTGTGTGTGTGTGTGTGTAGGGAGCTGGCAAATCCAATCCTTGTTATTCTATAGTTGTTACAAAGGGACATTCAAAATATCATTTTAAACATGT